GGGAGGCGCACGAGGATGGGAAGAAGAGCCGAATGGGAAATATAAGAGAATTCAGGAGCAACCGGCGCATGGAAGCCCCTGCGACTGACAAGGCTGCAAGGAGAAGCCGGGGTGAAAAAAGCCAATGGAAAAGGGAGTGCCAAGGACTTGCTTTATTTTCCCGAGAGCCGAGAATTCGCAAATCCGCGGCTCCGCACGCTGTTATGGTCTTAGACAAATTTACGGCTGTTTATGACGTTTCTCTACTGCATCGCGCAACTTACTTCACTTCCTTCGTCCGCTCTGGCGCAGCGACACATAAATCGCCGATCATCTCCAACGCCATCCTCCTTTACGATTTCTCCGCCCGTCCCCCCCCGCCCCCCCCCCCCCCCCCTCCCCCGCCACCACCGAACTCATCCAACCGCCCCGCCCGACAAGAGCAACTATGCATAACCTTACCGCGGCTCTTTACCAAGAAACGTAAATTGACTTGCATTCTTTCCAATGGCAAAAAAAAGTAATTCGAGTAAGTGTCTATTTGCGCGGTACTTCATCTGTTATATTCTCGATTTATCGCTACTTTGTTGGTTTGGTAATGAATTACGTTTAATTTATATGGATAAATGTTTCTTTAAAGAGTGCCTGGAGCGCGGCTCCAATAAACCTTAATAGCAAAACCGCATCATAATCATAAAAACACTGGAGCCATATCGAGCTTAAAAATAAAAAAATATATACGGATGAGAAACTTCAACAATGCTCGTCTCCTCCCACTTGAAGAACCGTTCGCGCGATATTTTTCTCTATCCTGCAATTTGACGCTTGAATAAGGTATCCGGCATACGATGTAACCATACACCTCATAAATAATGAAAGCCTCTTGCATATAAGAATGGCGCGTGGTCGAATAATAAGGCAGATATCGAGAGAAATCTTCCTTTAAGAGTCAGAATAATTCTACGAATACATTTGCATTACGGCGGGAAGAAGGGGGAAGAGCGAAAAGAGGGGGGGGGGGAAGAGGAGCGATAATACGCGGTAAAAAAAACTAATGCTAAACAAGTGCAGCATTATCGAGATAAATGAAGAGGCTGTCCCGTGCGGAGGCATTGTCGAAGTGAAGTTCGAGGAATTGACAAAAGATTCGATTCCGCGGACAATCGTGAGCATTGTGAGCGACACATTGAAAAGCTCCTGGCAATAGCTTACGAGAATGGAGGCCCGTCCAGGAGGTGGTAGGAGGTTGGAAGCAGGGGCAAAGAAGAAGGAGGACGCGACACGACGAGGGCTGGCTGAGAGTTTGGCATATCATGGGATGGGGTGGAGCGGTGGTGGGGAATAGGTTTCGGCCAAGGTCGTCGAAAGCCCAGCGCCATACATGCTAGGACGGGGGGAGGACCGTTGAGGGGGGGGGGCCGAAGGGTTATGTACTCGGCTCCCGCACAAGAGCCTATTATTTCTCTTATAGGCCGTTAATAGCCCTTTCTCCCGCTCGCTCGCATATACATGCACTTGATGGCCGCGTAGGATGATGCGCGCCCGCGCACCCGCCCGGCTACATAATGCGAATTACCGGCTCGAGCTTTTTACGCAATCGTAATGCGCACGGATCGCGTCGAAGCGCGCACCTCGATCGCCTTTGAGCACGGACTCGAGGTTATTGACGCGTAAGTCGCGTGGGATTGCGCCGATAAGTACGGATGTGAGGGCAGGTTCGATGATCACGACCCGAGGCTGTTATAACCAGTCTTTAACGAGGATGAGCCACGACTCGATCGCGTGAATGGACTGACGACGCCTTGTCAACGCCTCTGCCATGTCCTGAATGATGGGGACGGGGTTTGAGAATCGATAGCGGTTGTATTTGTTGTTTGATGGCGAAGGAGGAGGAGGAGGAGGAGGAGGTGGAGGAGGAGGAGGGGGGGCGTGAAAGGATAGGAAGGGGACGTGGGGTAGGGCATGGCTTGGCTCGGCACTTGTTTCTCTTATCAGCTGGCCGGTTATTCAGATACGGGGTCCCCATATGTATGCTCACCCTTTGTTGTATTCAATTGGAAGGGAGTTCGCTCAGGAATTGGCATTCGACTGTAGTTTCGGAATAACTGGCGATGGAGCGCTTGACTAATACTCCGATGGCCATAAGGAAAATGACGTCGTTTCCCCATAATCTAGTAAAATTAGGTCTGAGTTTTATTTGGGTTTAGCGAGGTGGCGGCTCGAACGCACCTAGTAATTATCAAGTATCTAAGTATTTGGGATCATTCATTACATTAATCTAGCGCGCTAATTGGGTCAACGATTGACTTTTCACTTTCACCAAGCATATGTTGTTCCATCGTCCAATGTATTCTTATTTTCGATAGCATCAAAGTATAATCAGTAACGAATTTAGCCTTTCAATGGCGTCCCTTGACTTTGCTCATCCATTATCAATGTAAATAATAGGAAGGAAGTTCAGCCAGCCACTTGTGGCTAGATTTATTTGCCTTTATAAAATATGAAATGATTCATTCATCATAAATCGTGTAAAATAGAAAAATGTATAAAGAGTCTATGAGAGAGTCAATGGGCAAAGAGACTATCCCCCTCCCCCGGCACGTGTAAGCTAATTTTTCATTAGAAATTAAACAATTGGAGAAATGGTAGTAGACGAGTAGTAAGTGAAATTGAAGTTATTAAGATCTGATTTTTCTACCAATTTAACTTGTCTCGTCCGATATTTATTTTCGCATTTGCCCCGTGTAATGCTAATGACTCTAGGCATTTTTACACGAATCTCAATTGTATTTAATAATAGCGACTCTTTGTTAACAATTATAATTTACTGAAATAGGACTACGGGGACTATTGTCCGATAGCAAGTCAAAGTTAATTTAACGGGATTATGTAATATTGTTTGCAAACGTGGCTGCATGGAGGATATATAAATTTTGAAGGAAAAGTGAGGCATTTTGAATTGCAAAACTATAATATTTGAATTTCAAGCGGTAAATTGTTGTTGGAATGGGTATATTTGTGAATTCGCACTGACCGCAGTATAAGAAGTACAATGATTTTAAAAAGTCTGCGTTTCCGAATTGCGGTTTGAAAGAAGCGACGAATGCTCGCTGAAGAAAAGTTTCCGAGCGTGAATGGACTGTAGAGACTATGACGCGCGACGATAATCGTTGAAAGACGCGAGTTGGATAAAAGTCATTGAAGAAAATTCTAAAAGAAAGAGAAAAGTTTCTGGGGATCGACTGGAGCATCAGTTCGCCCATTGATCCCGGCAATTTACTTGATCAGCTGGATAGTTTTGAGCTGCGTCTCGTTTATTATGAACCGAGTCGAAGCGCTGTTGCCAATTTTTGCGACGACTGTGCCGTAAGCGCGAGACAAGCAATGATCGGTTTTACCGGATTTTATTGTCCAATTGTTTAGAGTGCTATCATCTTCGTGCCTAATTAAAAATTTTAATACATTACCACTGAAATATCTACTTATCCTCCAGCCAATTCTTTTTTCTGCTCATTTGACTACATAATCATTAGAGTTACGATACTATTGTGCGTTATTTTTCCTATAATATCGCAATTGTTAAATCGTTCGGAAAACAATCGTTTATCCTTATATATTCTTATCATCAATTTTCTGATATAGTGATGTTATTAAACAATAGCGTTGAAAAATATCAAATATCGAATAATTGAATGTTTTCATTATTAATAAGAAAGGAATTCACGATCTTAATCACAAAGGTGGAATAATAAAGAAAACTAATTTTCGAAACAATGTTTTAAAAGTTATCGATAATTTTATTTTTTTTCTCCTCGACAATACAAAGAAGAATTTCTACGTTTCTAAACACAAATGGCAATAAATAAAATTATTTGATTTCCTTTGACAACGCGTGTATTTTTATCGAGAAAACACAATAGATAAAGTAACGTGCATTAAAGGAGAAGGACTATTGATTTTTAATATCCAAGACATTTCTTTATGTCCCTTATACAATGGACATTGTCTTAAATCATAGAAATACATGTACTCCCAACACTTTATATATTCAAACATAGCATCGTTTTCAATGAACTTTCTATCTATTATCACAATTTATAAGCGAACGAAAGATAATATTACGACCTGTGACTTTTAATGTTAATGCGCATGTAAAAATAAATGAAAGGATTCAATCGCTTGACTGGTTAATAATTCGCAGCTGTATGCCCAACTGTTTAGCGCGCGACAAACTTCACAGGCTGGGGGAAGAATCCGACGATATGCCATTCGTTAGTAATTACAACTAATGAAAATATAGTGAAGTATAATATTATGGAAAAGAAAGAGAGGACAACATGTTTCATAAAATTAAATTTTAGCGTTTATAAATTATATCGAGAATTAATTAATTCCATAGAATATTGATATTATATTCGAGGGTGATGTAAAATTTTCAAACATGAGAGAGAAGGATGGTAGGAAAAGGGATAAAGGGATATTTTAATTTTATGGTAGTAGTACGGTAGTAGTCGCGCACCATGTAAAATTGCTTTTCACAGGAAGCATAGTCCAGCAGTTAAGACGATGGAAGATTGGTGCGGGGGTTGGATAGGGTGAGAGGAAACGGATCAATTAGAATAACTCGCATGTCGCCAACGCGATTGCCGATTGCAGATCGCGGGAGCGTTAAAGGGATGAAATGAATTAAACGAAGTGCAGTGGATGAAGTGATATGCACTCACCGTAAAACCAGCACTGTTTCTCGCCAAATCGTGGCCTCAGAAAAGCTTGCCCCGGAGTTTGGGGCAGGTGGTCCAGGAAGGCTGCCAGTCCGGCGACGATGAGGGGTCCTCCCCAGGCGTAAGCCCCGTAAAATCGGAGCCTCAGCAGTTCCTGGCCCTTCTCCAAGCTGGCCGGCCGCAGGTCCCTGCCAACGCAACAACGACAAAGTTTTATTATTCATCGGGTGATACGTGGAAGTGGGGAGAGGCGCCGATTGGGTACTTGCTCGATTGGGACTGGAAAACGGGGGGACACGGGACTTTGTCGAGCCCCCGATTGGGCTCCCACTTTAAGCTCGTAAGCGCATCCGGCCCGTCCGCATTAATTCACATAAGTAGAAGGCGAGGTTGGAGCCCAAGTGGGATGTAGTACTGCCCATCTGTATCCTTCGACCCCGAAAAAGATCCTAATTGGTCCGGGTTTTAACGCTCGGCTATAACGGGTATCAATTTACAGTTTGATAAGGGCTGGCAAAATTTTCCTAATTGCGTCTTATGTACCTGGCTCGCTTGAAAGCTTCTCATTATCTTACAGGCGTCGGGATTTTTCGCCTGTAATTAACGAGCCATAAGAGATGAAAAATTGGCAGGGGTTGTTGGCTTATAGAAATGTAGACTCTCTCGACCTTTAATGCTCAAATTTGACAGTTGTTATTTTTATAATTATTTCGTTGATATAGGAAATGGGCTTGCTCGTTAATTACACTCTGCCAACAAGTAATATTCAATTATTTTGCATTTTATTCCCTGGTCATGCCCTTTTAGCATAAAGTAGCACGAGACTTTTACTTGATAAAGTTGCTTAATCAATAATTTGTGCTTTATGTTTTACTCATACATCACTTTTACTAAATCTTCGAAATGTCAGGATAAATTACAGATCCATATCAAGATTTATATATCCATAATCAACATCATAATAATATTCTTGTATAAATGACAATCGTAAAACGAGTAAAATGAAGAAAAAAAATTCATTCAACAAATTTATGTATAAATTGATTTTTCTTTTATCGTCTGCGCGTCTGCGTGTGTGAATATGCAGGTGCAGGTGTTCACGTAAACATACGCGTACATTCGCAAAAGTATGAAGCATATCTACACAGGCACGCCCCCACACAAATGCACATATATTTATATTTAAATACTTTTAAAATATTGAAGACAAAAAAAAAAATCAATTCTATTTTACGAATGAAAGCTGAAGCCCATTCGAATAAATACAAAATAAGTAATTTATAAGGCCAATAGTAAGGAAAGTAAGAAATCACTGCTTATTGAAATATACTGGATATTGCTATTCATAAACTTGATAATCTAAAGTAGGTGATAGATATAAATTTTGAATTTAAACTAGATTTAACAGTACGAGAGGTCATAGGACGGTAATAAATGCTCCTGGATTTGCGTGTGGATGAGTGCGAGCGTGCACAAATGCATAAATACAAATAAAACACATACGTACTCAACGATACATAACATAGTAGTAATACCAGTACATTGATAAATTGCGATAATATATACACTAATAGGTATACGCGTGTACGTAGTATATACTCCACAGGATTTCGGTGTACAAACTGCATATATGCGTAGACGCAAATGTTGATTCGGTACCTGCGTATTGCGTATTGCGTATAGCATTGCTAATGGGAGATCTACTAATTAATGAATGCAAGCCAAGAGGGCAGGGAAGTGTTTAAGAGAAGATAAGCGAGATAGAGATGGTAAATGAGGGTGGATGGATGAATGGGAGGGAGATATAGAAGAAACAAAATTAAAACGAATGTAGTGGTATGAATATGTTTATATAAAGTGAAATTATAGCAACATTAAAGAAATTAAAAAAAAAATTATAAGTACTACTCATATGTTAAGAGCATTTAATATTCAACATTATTTGTCGAGGAAATGTGTGATGTAGAGAAATATATATATTGGAAATTCAAAGATCTGATTTAAAGTAATGTTGTGTAAACATTTGCCTTATCTGAACTGTAATTCATAAGGCTTATGACTATATTGTTATCTTTCTTAAATGCAAAATATCTTGATAATTTTCATATTAGCTTCACATGTGTACTCGACCTAATTATATATTATATTATAATAATTAATAACGTTAAATTGAAAAGTAATTTTAATTATAATATTACGCGCGAATCTAGATTTTAGGGCAAAACTTACTTGACACTAAACAAAACCAAAAAAAAAAACCAAAATAAAAAAAAAAACAAAAATAAAAGAACAAACAAAAAATATGAATTTTCAATTTATCAGCTTAACCGTGTGAAAATTAAATAAATCATAAAACTGCTTCTTTTAATGACGTTACATTAATCTTGTACACGTGTATAACTATATTGTATAATTTTAAATTGAATTTTCGTGTATTATTATATAATATCATTGCGTATATAATAAATGAATTTATTCCTACATTGTCCCGTAACATTGTACAAAATTACTTGACAAATTTATCATCCACGAAATTTGAAATGAGTAAGTAACGGATGAAATAGCATAACAGAAATTCAGACGTTGTAATCTATTCGATAATTTACATGAAAATTCTTGGGTCGTATAAATTCAACAATTTAACGGACGAGTGCGAAAGTTCACGCGAACGAGTGAGAGAGATTGCGAGAGATAGAAAGAAAGCGGCCGATGGAAAGGAGCATCCCGGAAGAGGGAGCGAGTGAAGGAGTAACATTCCCGATCGGTCGATTTGTCGCTTTTTCCGTGTGTGCCCGACCCTCCCCCGTCCCCCACATAGCAATCCACCGCCACCAACCGCCAGCACCACCGTCACCATCGCCAACACTGCCACGACGACACAAATGTGGCTGTAGTGCCAACGGGCATGAGCGCGAGCACACACAAACAAAAAGGCAACGCGTATACGGGTGCGGAGAGAAATTTCGATTAACACGGACTGCGCTAAAATCATAATTGCGTTAGCGCGAGGGACACAGCGTGTGCGTGCGTGCATGTGTGTATGTGTGTGTTGACACTCGCGCCGAGAATGTGCATGGCGTACCGAGTTTGAACCTCACGTACCTTCTTCCCTCCCGCTCATTGGATTTCGATTTCCTGTTAAGCTACGTTTACATCTACCGAAACTTCCGTTACGTGACGCCTCGACTCACCCCCTTTTTTGCCCACTTCGTGTCCTTGTATCTGCTTTTATTTTTTGCTTCGCCAAACGGATGAGAGATGAGCAGGCCGACCTCCGTCCCTCGAGCTACTCCCATCATTAATATAAGAGCGTTAGTCGATAGGTTTTTAAGTGCGCTTTTTACTAGTCGGTTACGATATAATTAGAGCGTTTTGTTCCTAGCCGAAGCCAGTGATCGAACTTTGATTTTACCCCGACTCTTTTATTTTATAATTTGGCCTTACTAAAGCCGAGTAATCTCAGTATTTAAAGTTGGTAAATTGTTTCCTATATCCAGCGCTAAGCGATGCAAACGTGTAATAAGTACAATAAAATTATCGCCTATAATTACTTTTCAGTTTTCCTCTTAACTTTAATTTATAAGCTGCAAAATTACATGGAAAATGCCACACTTAATATTACTCAACACTGTATTTGCTGTTAATAAATGCCTAAGGTATTAACTGCCTTCAGCAACGAAAACGCTAAAAACGCCATTATAAGCATGAATTATGCCAATCAATTTTCTCGAAAAGGCACAGCATTACATCGGCCGCTTAATGAGCAACAAAGGTGTGAAGTTTTGATATTATAACCGTGCTCGACTCTTGCTCGCGAAGCATTTACAGCGTAAATGAATTGGGGAAACAGCGAAGGAAGGAGCGGTAACGTGGTACGATTATTTTAAACTCCTCGAAAGTCTTACCAGCAATTAGCCGATCGCCAATACAATATCGACGATATCATATATTGTTTTCGTTTGATCCTCTCGGCGCTTAAAGGCCGAGGTAATTTGGCCAGCGTGAAGGAAAAAAAGGGGCAGTCATTGGCCGGTGCGCCCGTGAGAGGAAGCCGAGGGAGTGAGGAGCGGCGGAGCCGTGTACGAGGGCTGATCGGGGAGAAAAATTGCCGATGCGAGCCGCACGCACGCGAGATAAAAGTCGGTTGCGCACGCGACGCCTAATACGCCTCGAAGCCTTGGTTCGCCTAACCCCTACCACCCTCCCCCTCCACGCGTAGTCGATCAAAACACCAGGTCCACGGCCTATTCATTGTCCTAGAGGAAAAAAAAACAACACCGATCGAGTGGCTTTCTCACTTTGTGCTACCCCCCCCCCCCCCCCCCTCCCCATT